AGCTCTGCAAAATACTCAGTATTTCACAGAAACTTCTTGACACACTGAGACAAAAATAGGGTCTATTTCACTTTGCAACTGCCAGTAACTCTAGCATAATAAACCTCTAAAGGGCAGAGCCCTCACCAAAACACTTAAAAACAGCTTGAAAGGGGTACTCACTGCCCGTTATGTTTACTCAAGCACTTGTTTAAAAACACATTTAAGGAAAATGTTTTTATTTCTACAGATTGCATTAATTATAGCTTTGCAAACACTGAGCTCTGCAAGAASATTGAACTGAGCTATTAGCTGCAAACCTCAGGTCCTGGTTAGAGAAGTGGATATGGCTTATTTAGCAAGCCTAATGAATTGGCTCASCCATCTCTACGCAGAATTCCATGTTTAGCATCATGGAGACGCTGTTTCGTGTCACTTTATAAATCAAAATAAAATAAAATGGTCAATCAGAGAGAGTCTGAAAGCAGACCTCAGTGCAGCATTATTCCCCTTCGGGATAAATAAAAGCATCAGTACGGGCACTGACGGGCACATTGGTTCCAAGTCCTGCAGAGACCCACAGTAAACTTCCACTTAATTACCATGCTTTGCCCTGGAAAAACGCGGCGTTTGACGYCGCGAGCAGCGCGGCTGCGCTCCGCTTCCCGCACAACCACCCGCGCAGCCGGCCGCGGCGCAGCCCTAAACCTGCGGGCGGACCGGACCGGGCAGCGGCTCTTTCCCGGAGGGATAAGAGGAGTAAACGCCCCGCGGCGGCGGGAGCAGCGCATCAACCTGCCCGCTCAGGTGCGCCGCGCCGCCCGCGACGGGACCGCCGGCGCTGCCTTACCGTGAGCGCGGAGAGTTTCTGCGCTGGCACGGCCGGGAGCAGCTCCAGGAGCAAGAGCAGCAGCGGCACCCACATCCTGCGGCGGCTCCGAGACGCGGAGGAGGGGGACTCTCCCCCGCCGCGCCTTCTCTGGCTCCTTTTCAATCACTCCTGCTGGGAGGTCCCAGCTTAGGTCCCGTTCTTTTTTTCTTTTCTTTTTTTTTCCTTCCCTCCAACCCTCGAAGTTTGAGGACGGGGGATACAGGAGAAAGCTCGTCCCTCGCCTCCGTCTCCTTGTCCCTTCCTCGCTGCAGGAGAATTACTGCCCGGGTCCCGCGGTGCCCCCCAGGCCCCTCCGCTCCCGGACCCTCCCGCCGTGCAGCTCCGCCGCCTCCCCCGGAGCTCCGCGCCGCCCTCCGCCTCGGCCCGGCGGCTGCCCAGTCTTGGCAGCCTTCTGTCCCCTTCAGCCGCGGCGGGGAGAGGATGGGGAGGAGGAGGGCGGACAGTCCCGCAGGAGCCGCCGGTGTGCGCAGCCCGGGGAGCCGCGGCAGGCACGGCYGCAACTCGCCAGCCCGGCTGGCGACTTCGCCCCAGCCTGCCCTGTCCTTTTCCTCTTATCCTCCCTCGCGYCGGCCCGGCCTCCGCTTCCTCCTCCCAGAGCCGCAGGTCCCGCCGAGGATCCCTCCCCGAGGCGCTTGGCGGGGGCGGGGGGGCGGACACGCAGCCCCGCACGCCCGGGCACTCAGCCCCACACCTCCGCTGCAGTCTACAATTTCAGGCGGACCTTGGTTGGAGGCACTCAGAGGCACCCCAAAACACCCCCCTCTCGGCACACCCCGACCTCCGGCGCATGCCTCCCCTCCAGTGCACCCCGCTGCCCTTACAGTGCATGCCACTCTGCCGTGCAGGCCAACCTCCTGCCCTCCTGCACCCCTCGCTGCCCACAGCTCTRCTGCCACTCACACCTCTGCGGAGCAAGGGCCAGGGCTGCCGGTTTGCTGGAGGGCGCAAGAGCTGCRCAGCAGCATTTTGCGGGATGGGTGTCGCTGTTAGACTCTCTCCTCGCAGCAGGTAAGCGGCATGCAGTTGGCTGGGGAAATGCAGGTTGCTGCGGGGCTGTCACTATGCATATAATAAATATCATGTAAAACCTCCCTAGTGACAGTTTTGTGGGATTTTTTCTTTATGGATTAGGGGAAAAATAAGGAATTTTATTATCTTCTTCCAATGAACTGCTAGAAGATCTGAAAGAAACCTTTTCACTGCAACTTTGTCAGTGGAGGAATTCCCTGCTTCTCCCCTGAGACCCACAGCTATCTGCCAGCATGCAGGGGTCCCCAGGGTTCAATGGTGCTACCAAGGAGGCTGAGGCTAATAGCATCTGTGTTATTCTTAGGGTTTGCTCATTGCCAGTAGAAGAACAAGGCTGAAAGCCCATTAGGGAGGCTGCCAAGCACAGCAGTCCCAGTACACAGGTGGCAGATTCCCTTCAGGGTCCTTTTTGGACTTTGTCACAATGTTATGACACCATCCTTACTTCTAGAGACAYACTGTCTCAACCAGGGCCGGGGATGGAGCACAGAGTCCTGATCAACAGCTTTGCACACAATGAACAAAGAATGAGAGATGTGTAAGTAAATTACAGACRCTAAACTTCTGTGCCTACTTGTGAGACCCACCGGTGACTCCTCCATATTCTCCAGTATTCACAGCATGCAGCCCACAGACTAGTCATAGTGTGTGCGAACAAGGCCTCCAGGTCTCAGTGGGGCATCCTGACTAGCAAGAAATTGCAGAGCCCACTTTTAAAAAGTTTGGTTTTGAACAACCTGATAATCAACAAACAGTATTTGCATGCATGTTTTCAGATGTGTGCTTTCATAATATCTCCTGGGATTTCAAAAGGGGAAAGAGAAAAGACAAGAAAGATATCATATGGCACTACCAAGGTCCGAGCAAGACTGGGACCATCGCAGAGACCTCCACCAGTCTCAAACTAGCAACACCTCACACAAAAATAGCAAATTGCCATTTGCTGTTGTAGAAAGAGTGGGTCGTGTCGTGTAGAAAGTGTGGGCTCAATTTGACAGGATTTTTCCGATAAGGATATTGAAAATTCAGACTGTGAGAAAGGAAGAAATATCCAGCTTTTAGTAACAAGACTACAAAAAGTAAATTCTCTTCAAGCAATTCTAAAGCCACAGAGATGGGCCACCAGATCCAAAGAGAGCCATACTATTTGGCCTGTGTATGTAAAGGTTCAGCCACCTGCCTTGCATTGCAGGAGCAGGGAGTTCTTTGACAAAAGATAATGCAGATCTTAACAGGAGAATCTTATTCTCCTTTGGGTTCCTGACATCTGCTTGTGAAGAAATACCTCATGAGCCCTGCATTCTTTTCTGCTCTTACAAGTTTGCTGTTTCTCGAGCATCATTCTACAAACTCACTTGAGATACAACATATACTTGATTKTTTTTAAAGTTTGAAAAATAATGGGAAATAATGCTTATATTCACGCAAGAAGTTCTTTTAATACTTAAAGAATGCACATATACTTGCAGAAGTGCAAATAAATATAAATATAGAATAGTTATTTCAAAGGTGTCTGACCAGAACTTTTCTGTTTCTCATCTGTGTCTGCATCASTGAGCACCCTGAAGTTCTAGTCCATGACAGAGAGAGATTGTAGCAACACAAACAGTAACAAAAAAAAGAAGTATAARCATACATATATATATATACAGTAAAGCATTATTACTTCACTTTTTACAAAGGTAGTAAATCAAAAGCAACTGACATCAATGGAAAGTCTCCCATGGCATTAATATGAGTATGAATGAAAAGTCYACAGTACTTCAAGACTCTAGCCCTGTAGTATTCATGGTATTATTAAATTGTATTCTGAGGGTTTCATGTTTGTCAAAGATGATTGTTCCTGAAAAAAGATMATATATATGTGTTTAGTCTGAAAGAAAAATAAATATCTGCTGTTGATTCTTTATATTTGCACTGAGTAGTAGGGAAGATGGAGTCCAAGAGATAAGCAGGAGATTGTGGAACTTCCTAAGCAAAAATATGTAAATAAAAAAAGAAAGGGAAGGGGAGGGAAGGGAAGGAAAAGTCTTTTTTTTTTTTTTTTTTTCCTTAAGTAGAAAAAGGTCTTTCAACATGCATTTCTTAACATAGCTTTAAGCAAACCACCAATGACTGAGCTATGTTCCATGTCATATGAAATGAAGAGTGGAATTTTTTGAAGTGTTTATTGGAACCAGGAGCTGAGATCCTGTTTTTGAGAACTACATAGGTAAGACAAACCCTAATCCCGAAGCACCAAGGCCCATGCATTATTTGATCATTACAAATAAATTAACCAACTTGGCATTTTAGAAAGGGGTTGCAATGTAGAAGTAGAGTCAAAATTGTGAATGGTTAGGAGGAACAGGGGTTCCTTGGGAAACAGAGCTTTGGAAAGTACCATTATTCAATTAGATTTTTCTGGTATTATCTCTTTTTTTTTGTACACGTGTGTGTGTGTGTATGTATGTGTATGTGTGTGCGTGTGTGATTAAAGCTCACCATCTGGAATTTCCTCATGTTGTCAGTATGAGGAAATTGACTTAATTTTTCAGGTCAACAAAAAGCTGCTCTGCATCTTCAAGAGTGAAGAGTGCTCTGCAGGGCAGAGCTAGTGGATTCTGCTACATTTTTCCTAGCTGGAGACAGCACACTTTTCAGATTTTTCAGAAGAATGTTGTTTGTTGTAACACAGCGAGAGGCGTCACAGCTGACTCATCCATYTTACATTAAATCATCCTTCAGGAACGCCATGGCTCAGTGGCCAGAGGCACTCCTCTTTTGCCCAAGAGTAGAATTTGGAACAGTGAGATGGGATCAGGAGAACACTCTGAGAAAACAGCCAGCTCCAGATTAAAAGGAACACCTGGAATGTCAAGAAGGATGTGAACAACAAAAGAGGGGRAAAAAAAAAGAAAAAAAATGGAAAAAAAATAGTCTTTTGGAAATTTTACTGATGAACTAAACCTGCTGTCTCATAATTTTGAAACAAACGTTGGATTCTGCATGGTTCTAGAAGCCTTGGAATCAGACTGCAGTTTGGAAAATGTCAGTATGAGGAGTTCTGTCCAGGGATGGACACATTTATCCCAAATGCTTGTTTCATTTGGCAGCAACTGGGTTTACATCAAGACTGAAAAATATACAGAAAAAAATATTACATGAACTGCAGTACAGGTTGTACAATGTTTTCTGAGTGCCGATGGGGCAGCTGAAGAGAGATACACTAAACAATCATAACACAAAATAGGAGAATGTGCAAGTTACAAAACAGCTTCAAGACCTTTGGGCACATATCCTAGAATATTCTTATACAATTATTTCACTTTCTTGGCCAGACTTAYTTTCCTATTGTTGCTGTTTATTTTATGGCTCATCTTTCTAGAGCAAGATCTTTCCACTTGGGTAGCAAATGAAGTAGCGAACAATTTTGATGGAAAGACTTAAAAAGTCATCTTTTGGGGAATATTCTGGATAGCTGTCAAAGATGTGCTGCTTCAGCATCCCCTATGCACTTCTTCCCAGCAGAATAGTGAAAGATCTGTCATACCTGAATGGAAATGGTTTCACTAGGAAAGTGTGCTATTTTAACAGTGGAAAGCTCACACARTCTGAAATACCTAATGAAGTAGTTAGATATGAGTAAGTAAAGTGTATTCAAAGTACTTATTTCCAGTCCCCAAAGTGTATTGTGTACCAGCTTGCTATTTCAGATCTGTAAAATTGTAGTAACTCCAAAACCATTATGTTCCAATGGCTCTTCCTCCCCTTCATGCAAAGTGAGCTTCATGGGCTTACTCTAATTTCCTGTGTTTGCAAAGTATTTGTGAAGCCTTTACCATGCTCAGCAATGTCAACATAGATGCCAAAGCTTTAACAGGTTCAGTGCCCAAGCCACACAATCACTGCTGACAGAGATCAACCCAGGACAGACAGGATGGAGCCTGACAGTGCAAGGAAGGTTCCCGTGTCCCTTCCTGCTCTGCTCTTGCATTGTACAAGGGCTCCAGGATCCAGAGCTGTTACTCTAAGCACTTTGCACAGAGAGGTCTCATCTGTGGGTGTGAAACACTTGAAATGTGAGCAAGTGCGTGTGGARGACCCTGCAACGGGGGAAGCAGGAACAACTAGACAGCACATATAGGGCTCAGATCTGCAGTGTGTACCCTCAGCCAAATTCTAGCTACTGCTGAGG